ACTTATAAATTTATTGGCACTAAAAGGTTCCAGAGCTAAACTTTATGGTCAGATCACTTAATTGTCCTGTTGCACCACTCATCCATTGGTTAAAGGTTTAGTGGGCCATTTATCAGAATGATAAAATTTGTAGATGATATTTTGCATGATAGGGGCTTATCCTTGTGACGTTTGTAGAACTCTGGCGTTAGAAAGTTCATATTAAACTACCTAGGCAATCTTTTGCAGACCACAACACCCAAACGGAGAGAGAGAACACAGGGGATTGCCCTGCCACAGAGGCAGGGGGGGATGGGGGGATGGGGGTGGGAGGGATATTATCCATGGTGGTGAAAAACGGGCACTGGTGGAGGGATGGGTATCTGATCATTGTATAATTGAAACCCAAGCACAAAAAATTGTAAATCTACAACTGTAAAAAAAAAAATAAAAAAATAAAAAAAAAATAAACTACCTAGGCAAATTAAGAAAACTAACATGACTATTGCCAGGATCAAATACAATCCATGGCCAATAAAGAGTGTAGGGAAATGGGAAAGACACAGGTAGAAGGAAGAATGGCCAGCCTCCCTCTCTTTCACTCATAGATGGAGTTTCCAACCATATGTCTTTAACTGAAACCAGAAAATTGTCCTATATTGAACAAGGGTAATGCTCAGTAGCCTCACTGAAGATCTATTTTTATAGTTCAGTTTGAGAAAAGGTTATGTGCTTTGAAATGACGGGAAGGAAAGTCACAACGATAGTTATCTCTATCACAATATCTCTAAAGCATGTAGTACCAACATGTCTGAACTTTGCTGATGTCGACCTTAATTACCTGAGTACAGTAATATTTGTTAGTAGGTAATTTTGTTTTTTTCTTTTTATTTTCAGTGCAGAAGCAGCAGCATCACAATTTCCATACTCCGCATCAGCAGGAAGATATGCACTGATGGTTTTATCTGAATCAACCGCGCCATCTAGTGCCCAATCGTGGTAATGTCCTTCTCATGCCCATTTTGTGATAGGATTTTTGGCTTGTGGTTCTGGCTGCAGGATTTCAATTACTACTACAATAAGTTTTCTTTTTACTTAAAATCATGCACAGTCATATTCTGTTAGCTGAAGCTAAGAAAGTAGTCTTCTCTTCCCACACCTTTCAACATAGCATAAAAGATAGGAGTTTTATTTTCTTTTATTATTATTTTCAAATTTTATTGTTATCATGGTCCTCCAAGCACTGCCAGCAGTGATTATTGACACAGAGCTATGAGTAAGCACTAATCATGGTGGTGTGTCCCAAACCAAACCACAAACTCCTAACCTATTCTGAAACATTCAACTAAGTTCTAACTGCTTTGCTCTCAGTTTTATCTCTACACTGGGGCTGTGGAGGGGAATTCTGGTTAGATCCCCTCTTGGATCCCTCTGGTTAGACCATCAGGTGTAGCTCTGGTGAACCCTGAGCACTGCCAGGGTGGCTTTGGTGGTTCCTGCCCACTACAGGACCCCAACATTACTACATCCTTGGGCACTTGCATTCAATCTTAAGCTTCATCACTAAGAATCACCAGAGCCCCCGGATACTAATAATAATATTATCATATTATTATTGATTTGGGAGCTACACCAAGTAGTTCTCAGGGCTTACTCTTGGCTCTACACTCAGGAATTACACTGGTGGTCTTGGGGAACCACATGAGATGCGGTGGATTGAACCTGAGTCAGCCACGTGAAAGACCAATGCCCTACCTCACTGTGCTATAGCTCCATGTCCAGCTTTTTCATTTTTAATGTAAAAAAGTACTTACTGGTGTCTTTTTTTGTGCAGTGTACAGAAGAATATTTTTCTCAGGATTTCAGTTATTTATTGCTACTTGCAGAGTCACCTCAAAATTTAGTGCCTTACTGCAGCATCCATTTCATTTAGGATTCTGTGGATTAAGAATTTGCACAGTAGTGGGACAATTATCAATAATAGCAATATATAAGATATGACCTAGGGAATGAAGACTCTATTCATTGAATGAATGGGAATCAAGGAACTCTGAAAATGCAGTAATGTTTCACTCTATGTGAAAATTAAATTAAGAAAGACTTTGTGGGCTGGAGCGATAGCACAGTGGGTAGGGCGTTTGCCTTGCATGCAGCTCACCGGCCCCCTCCCCCCCGAGTTCTATTCCTTTGCCCCTCTTGGAGAGCCTGGCAAGCTACCGAGAGTATCTTGCCCACATGGCATAGCCGCCTGGCAAGCTACCTGTGACATATTCGATATGCCAAACACAGTAACAACAAGTCTCACAATGGAGACATTACTGCTACAACTCAAGTAAATCGATGAACAATGGGAGGACAGTGCTACAGTGCTTGTGGTTAATCAGAACAGTGTGATGAAGAAGTGGTAGCGAACTAGGGGTTAAAGTCTCAAGGAAAGGAAAAGGTCACCGTCACACAGTCATGGTCCTCCCCTTGTTCATCGATTTGCTCGAACGGGCCCAGTAACGTCTCCATCGTGAGACTTCTTGTTACTGTGTTTGGCATAGCGAATACGTCACGGGTAGCTTGCCAGGCTTTGCCATGCCGGGGAGATACTCTTGGTAGCTTGCCGGGCTCTCGGAGAGGGGCGGAGGAATCGAACTCGGGTTGGCCATGTTGGCTGCGTGCAAGGCAAACGCCCTACCGCTGTGCTGTCGCTCCAGCCCAAGGAAAAGGTTGATCCATAAATTTAAAAAAGAAAAAAAAAAAGGAAAGAAAGCCCACAACCACACTTTACTGGAAAATCCTTATTTCTTTTTGATGGAAAAGTTTTTTCAAATTATGTTCATACTTTCTGTTTATATTTTAAAATTTCCTTTACCTTATGATCTCATTTAGAACATCATTGTCAGCCAAGTTAACTTCAAATAACAATACCAATTTTCTTTTTTAGTATACTATCTCAACTAATACATGTTGTTTGGGGGAGTGTCTCTGATCATTACATTCCAAATTAAACTTTATTTATTGTAGTGCCATTTTGATAATTTTAAGAGAATAAGTAATAAATTTAATTTGTATTAAGATATAGTCTTAGTCTCTTCAGGGGGTATATTGTATACATCTAGAATTGGATAAGATAAAGTGAAGTTAGAGTTCAGAAAATGTTTTTAAAGTAGACATGTGATGTATGCATGTGTAAATGAAAGAAACAAGAAGTTGAGGTTTATCTACTAGATATTTCTTCACTGGGGATGTCCTTTAAGCAATCAATCTGAGTTATGTTGTCTTTAGGCCCTGTGTTCAAGGGAGTTGTTAGCATGAACTCTCCTCTGATCATGATTGATTTAAATCAGGAAAAAGTAGAAAGTTATTGTTATTTTGTCTATTGCAACTAAAGAAATATGAAAACTTTTAGCATATTTTATAATCGACCTTTCTAGAGAAGTTGAATTCTTACCATGCATTATGACTAGTAATATAACCCTATTATTAGTAAACCCCAATTAATTCAATTTTTAAATATGAGATATTAATTGGAAAAAATGTAATAATTCAGGGGAAACTGATCAGAATGAATAGAGATAACCAAAACATATTAGAAAAAAGAATTTTAAAGAAAGGGGAGAGTGGTTTGTGGTAAATAATTTGAGAAAATACAGAAACTGATTCTGACTTTTTTTATAGAAATAATAACAACTATTCTTCTGGGAGGAACACTAGGGAAAGTGAATTGAAAATATGAAAGGTTGATTTGGTCTTATTATAAGGAATTCCTTTGAATTAAGTTTTTGAAACTGCATAAAAGTATGATTTACAAGTTTTATTAATTCATGTTTAAGAAGGTACTAGATGGGAATATGAAGTAGAGCAAGGAAAATCTCAACAAATGGTGCTGGCAAAATAGCAGTTAAATGTAAAAAGAAAGTGAATTCAAACGTCTTTCTAATGCTATTCACAAAACTCAGATTAAAATGAATTAAAGATCTCAATATCAGACATGAATCCATAAGGTACATAGAAAAAAATGTAGCAAAACTTTCCATGGCACTGAAGCTAAAGGGATCTTCAAAGATGATACCACTGACCAAGCAAGTGGCAGCAAAAATAAATAAATGGGTCATCTGCCCTTCTCGGAGAGCCTGGCAAGCTACCAAGAATATCTCGCCCGCATGGCAAAGCCTGGCAAGCTACCCGTGACGTATTCAATATGCCAAACACAGTAACAACAAGTTACGATGGAGATGTTACTGGGCCCGCTCGAGCAAAATCGATGAACAATGGGAGGACAGTGCTGTGCAGTGCCGTACATTTATAGAGAGAGAGAGAAAGATGCCTGCCATAGAGGCCAGAGGGTAGGGGGAAGGGAAAGTGGGACATTGATTGGTGTTGAGCAATGTACACTGGTGAAAGGATATTGGAATATTATATGACTAAAACACAATCTGAACAACTTTGCAACTATGTATCTTACTGTGATTCAATTAAAAAATAAGTTAAAAAAATTTAAAAAGTTAAAAAAAATCCAAAAAGTTGCTAGACAATTACACAATAGAAATAATTTGAAGTGAATTTAAAGTTTAGATAAATACTTATATTAGGTAGATATTGTGTTCTCTTTTCACACTCTTTTCACACTTTTATGCAGTTATGAAATTAGATTAATAGATAAAATTCATTTTTATGGAGTTTTCAGGATAGAACACGAAAATTTGAAATGTTTTTAATGTAAAAATCATATTGACAATTCATTCCATGTTATATTATATAATATTTAAATCTCTTAGTTTAAATTATGATCATGGTTAAAACATGTCCTATGGTAACAAAATTAACCACAAATTCTTCAGAACAGCACTTGATAATTTTAAAAGTCAAGAAACAATACATTTTCCAAATTTTACTTTATCCACTGTGTTCTAGTTTATAGTGCAGCATTAAGTGTCTTGATCTTCATGCTTCTTCATGAAGTGACTTTAGCACATATCTTTTGTCCTCTTTTAAATATTTTTTACCATAGCTCTAAAAGATAGAGCCATAAATCACTGCCTCTGTGAAAAGGACATTTTCCCTAGTAGTTTCTTGAGGGCCCCTTTGACATCCTTGTTTCTCAGGCTATAAATTATGGGATTCAGCATTGGAGTCACCACTGTATAAAACACAGAAATCATCTTATCCCTCTCTTTTATGGTCTTGGAGTTTGGTCTCATGTAGGTGAATATTCCTGACCCGTAGAAGAGGACAACAACAATGAGATGGGAACCACAGGTAGAGAAAGCCTTGAGTCTCCCTTCCCCTGACTGCATCCGAATCACAGTGGAGATGATATTCCAGTAGGACACAAGGATCAGGGACACGGGAGCTAAGAGGATGACCACACCCATGGCAAAGATGGCCATTTCTGTGCTGTAGGTATTTGCTGAAGCCAGCTTCAGGAGGGCAGGTGGTTCACAGAAGTAGTGATTAATGACATTTTTTCCTCGATAGGGAAGTTGGAAAGTAAAGGTGGTATCCACCAGAGACACAAGTGCCCCACTGGCCCAGGAACCTATGGCCAGCTGGAGACACACTTGTTGGGTCATGATGGTGGAGTAGTGCAGGGGCTTGCAGACAGCCACGTAGCGGTCATAGGACATCACGGCTAGCAAGGCACACTCCGTACATCCAACCAGAAGGAAGACAATGATCTGTGTCATACATCCGAAAAAAGAAATACTTTTCTTTTTTACCAGGAAGTGGAGCAACACTTGAGGAACAATACTAGTTGAGAAACAGAGGTCTGCAAAAGAGAGATTTCTAAGAAAATAGTACATGGGGGTGTGGAGTCGAGAATCCATAAAGATAAGAATGATGATGAGCAGATTTCCAAGCACAGTCAACAGATAAATGATAAGAAAAAGAATAAATAATAGGATCTGTGTCTGAAAGTCCTGTGAAAGACCACGGAAGATAAACTCAGTCACAAAGGTTTGGTTTTCTTCCCCCATTGAAATTTATGCCTGTTTACCTGTTTGGTACAAACAAAAAAACATATTGTAGGTTTGTGACACTAAGTCCTATAGAGGAGTTAAGATTGACACCTAACTGGTTATGTCTAGTCTTTTGGAGTGATAGCACAGCGGGTAGGGCGTTTGCCTTGCACAACTTATTCTAATTGATGCTAAATAATATTTTTATTCTTTTTAGTTTAATATGGGGCCGGAGCGATAGCACAACAGGTAAGATGTTTGCCTTGCCTGCAGCCGACACAGGTTCGATTCCTCCGCTCCTCTCCGAGAGCCCAATAAGCTACCAAGAGTATCCCACGCGCACGGCAAAGCCTGGCAAGCTACTGGTGACATATTTGATATGCCAAAAACAACAACAAGAAGTCTCACAATGGAGACATTACTGGTGCCTGCTCAAGCAAATCAATGAACAATGGGAGGACAGTGCTACATTTCCCCTCCAAATATCTTTTTCTAAATGACACTTATAGATTATAAAATTGTTAAAGCCTTCTTGACTAACTGTAATATGGCAATATTAGCATGTATGTGAATATTCCTAAATGATTGTATATATATTACTTGGAACAACTGTGTATAATGTTAGATTATAGAAATGCAGAAAATGAAATCACTATTAAAAATACAACATAACTATAACATTTCCTTAAAAAAAGTGAAACAGTTTTCAGGCATAAAACTCAATTTGACTTCTGAAAATAAAATAAACATTACTTGGGTTTAAAAAGAGAATCTTAACATACCTTAAGCAAATGACTGTTAATTCTATTTGGATTTAATAAAATAAAAGTTGAAGCAATTGACAATAAAGCAAATAGTCAAAATTGAAGCAATAAACAAAAAAGCAACTAAGTCAAAGTTGTAGTGTAGGGCAAAATAAGGGAAAACAACAGGTTGGTCTAAGACATTATGAATAATACAAATGGGAAGTTTGCAATGTAAATTGAAGACTTATACAAGATAATATTATAAACTAATATAAAATGCAAATTGAGGAAAATGTCTGAGGTAGATGGCAGATAAAAGCTTAAAAATTTTATTATGGTAAGATTCCATATAACTTTATAAAAATTGTTGGATCCAAGAAATATGAATAATCTATTTACACAAAAATGAAACAGTTTTAAATATCATAAACTATTCAATATTATTATGGAAACAAATATAATTTCAATGAGTGATATATTTTTCACCTGATAAATTAAGATTTTAACAGCAAAAACAAAACTAATACTAGTATTTTATTGAGCATTTATCTCTCCAGCCCATACTTTAAGCATTTTATATTATTACATTGCCTAATCACATGACATAGACACTATTAATTTTATTTTACAGATGAGGAAAGTGAGACAAAGAGAGATCAAATTTTTTCCCACTAAATCACACAATTAAAAGTTCCAGAATTCATATAAAGAGAGTGCAGAGAAAAAAAGATGTTTTTGTTCTATGCATGTGGGAGAAAAACTATCCTGGAAAATAATATTTCCAAATACATGAAAAAATTTAGAGTCATATACTTCGACCGAACTATCCAGAGTGTGAGTGAGGGAGAGATATCTTTTTACTAGTCTGTTCTTCCCTATGAATAATGAAAATATGATATATATAATATTAATTAGTCCATGTTTACTACTGGGTATGATTACTCTTCTTTCTCATGTCTCACCCCCACCCTCCCCACACACATATACACCTTTCCCTACACACACACACACACACACACACACACACACACACACAGAGCTTTATTTATTTTTGTGATATTGGGGATAAATGCCAGAATTTTTCCTTTTTAATGACCATTTTATTACTTAAAAAAATATTTCTGAAATTTCATAGGAAACAACTGACCTTTGCACATTAGTAAAAGTCATTTCCTTTTCCTGTTCTCTTATTGGTATTATCAGAGCAGTACTGCTTTCTCTGTGCTCCACAGTTGATATTTTTAATGTTATTAATACTAAAAAAGACAATAATCTTTCCAGAGTTGGTTTTGTTAATGTCTTAGGAACCAATACTAATTTATGTTTTCAAAGTATGACATAAAGACAGGAAGAAAAAAATTTCAAAATGTTGAGAATGGTTGATCCTGATTTCTGATTTGCATGGGTTAATTTTCTTCTTTTCTAGTATCGTGCGATTTTAAAACTTTTATGTGAAAGGCTATATATTTCCAATATAGGAAAAATAAGCATGGAAATCTAAACAGCAGTTAATTGAGAATTTTCTAAAGTCACTTGATCTTGTTAAAGCAGTTAGTTATAAGAGTATCCCTTTTGCTAGAAACAAATATTAAATAAAATATAAAGCAGTGATTTTCAAGATACTGAAAAAAATCAGCTTCAAAAGCATCCTATATATCAAAGAAATAAGATGATGCTCAGGATCACACTAACTTTATTCCCAGAAGTTTTTTCAAGGCTATGTTTCATGGAGTTGGATTCTAAGCAGAACCTGGATAAATCAAAGAGACAGATTACTAATTCATAGCATCAAAGTATATAAAAATTACCAGAATAAAGAAGTTTTGCAGTTAAATGGCTACAGAAATCTGTACAAGTTTCGACTAATTATTAAACTAATTATTCACCTGTGCATGCTCAAGATAAGATTGGGCAGCTATATATTTATATCTATCTGTCTGTCTATCTCTCTATATATATTTAAGGCAACCTTAGGGAGCTCAGGTAAATCATCAATGGGCTAACGAAGAAGTATCTAACAATATTTTGCATGCATGGAAACATTTTATATATTTATTTATTTTTGCTTTTTGTACCATATCCAGCATTGCCCAGGGCTCACTTCTGGCATGGTTCAGGGCATCATAAGGGATACTGAGGATCCAACCTAGGTTGGCCTTTTTCAAGGCAAGCACCGGACATGTGGTGCTGTTGCTTAGACCCTAAGAAAACATTTTAAGTATAAAATTCACACTTGGTTGAAAGTTACCAAGATCAGGCAAGAAAAATTCCAAAACAAGGAGTACTACTAAAATCTTTCATTAATGATAAAAATGTCACCCAACACAAAGCTGTAGCTAGAAGCAATGTTATAATTAACAGAGTTTAAAAATCCACAAAAAATGAATCAAACTGAAAAGATAATTAAGGAAATCCACAGATCTAGTTAGAATTTTCAACACAATATTTATGGTGGAATAAACAAAATTAGTGAGGGCATAAAAGTCTTGAGTGATCAGCTTTCCTAGTGGATATTAATAGAAAACTATACTCAATAAATATTGTTATTTATTTTTTAAATGCAAAGGGAACATTTATCAAAGATAGGCTATGTACACTATAAAATAAAGTATACCTCAGTAACAAAGAGCTGAAGTCATATAGAACACATTCTCTGAAAGAAACAATAAAATTATCAATCAATAGTGAAAGGGTATCTGGGAAAATCCCCAAGTATTTTAGAAATTAATGCACTTATATATAACTTATGGATCAAGGAGGAAATAAAATGAAATAGAAAATATTTTCAACTGAAAGATAATGAAAGTATCAACATGCTAACATATTTAGTTCTTTTGAATGTTTGAAGAATGCTAATTGGTATTTCACTTCCCTGGTTAATAAAGAAAAAATGGAAAATGAAAGTCAGTTACTTTGTAGGACTTCAATGTAAAAAAAAAAGGGATATATGCCAAGTCTAAATAAAAGAACATATAGATTAGCAGTATTCCAAAATAATTAAGTAGCATGATCAAGTGAATAATTTCTATGAATGCCCAGGTGTAGCAATGTTGGTAAGCATATTAAAACTTATACTAACTCATATTAACTTATCAAAATGGGAAAGAGAATCTTAATAGATGCTGCAAAATACATTTGGAGAATTTTCTATTTTATTCCTGATAAATCTGTAAAACTTAGGTATATTTCCACTTAGAAGGGATTTGAGCATATTTCTTTTTCCTGATGATTTATATTATTTAAAATAAAAGGTGATTCTCATCCATAATGATGAATTATTAGACTCATATACATTATATTTTGTGAAATACATGGTGTCCATTTGTATGCAAAGGCTTACTTAATGGAATAGAAATCATGATAATGGGGGGAAAAAGGTAAATTTATCATTACTTGGATTTATTTTCTGTTTGGAAATCTTAAATCTGAAAATAGATGAGAAGCAATGAAAACTGTAAACAAACTTTTTTCAATATATTATATGTTAATGAATAAAATTAATAAAAATAGATAAAATTCACAGCAGCAACCTCTCCCAGTAATTTATTTAATTGCAAGTTTTTTGTTTGTTTTCTTTTGTTTTGTGGCCACACCCAGCAGTGCTCAAGGCTTTCTATTGTCTCTGTACTCAGGGATCACTCCTGGCAGTGCTCCAGGAACCATAAGTGGTACCAGGGATCAATCAGGGTGGGATGTGTGCAAGGCAACTCATTGAACCCTTGTTTTATGTCTCTGGTCCCTGAAAGAAAACTTAACATGATAATTTTGATGATTATCAAGACGAATAAATGTGAAACTATTCAGGGAAAAAACATGAAAGATTAAAAATAAAAAGTATGGTGAATAAATGTGGAAGAAATAATCTGATATTAAGTTATACTGTCACACAATTAGTTTATACATAGTATTATTTCATAAAAAATACCTCAATTGAATTTAATAGGGAATTCAGAATCACACTCAATTAAGTATATAATGAATTGAATTAGAAAGGAATTATGTAACTCAGGACTTTCTATGGATATCTTAATCATTTTATCTTAAATATGATATATTTTTTATATATATATTTTTAATTTTTTTTTATTAGTGAAACACCATGAGGTACAGTTTTAGATTTACAATTTTTTGTGCTTGGGTTTGATTATACAATGATCAGATACCCATCCCTCCACCAGTGCCCATTTTCTACCACCATGGATAATATCCCTCCCACCCCCATCCCTCCATCCCCCCCTGCCTCTGTGGCGGGCAATCCCCTGTGTTCTCTCTCTCCTTTTGGGTGTTGTGGTC